TTCTTCAAAAGTCATAAAGGATTTTCCAAATTTTGCCAGTCTTTCCAAAAAACACAACTTTTGGTTTCAATGATTTTCTATCTTTTACTTCATGGATTTTATACTCATTTTTTATTATTTTCTTCCATCTGCTTGCTGTGAATCTTGCTGGCTCCTCTTTTTCTAGTGTGCGTTGGGATAGAACTATCCCATTGGTTTTAAGATATTTTTCACTTTCGTTTATCTCAATAACAGAATTACAGGCAAGTATTTATTACAATCATTTATTTATTTCAAATCTTCTGCTCTATAGAGGAAACCTTCACGCACTGCCTCCACTCAGGAAGTAACAGGAGGAACCGTGGAGCAGCTGGGATGAGAAAACACTATTGATGGAGGGATCTGTTGTCTGATGCTGGTAGAACATAGTTACCAGGGAGGCCACTATTTTCTTAGATCCCCCTGGGCAGTCATTTGAGAGAAAGGAGAATAACACAACAAACAAAACACTTAGGCAGTATTGACAAGCTTTAGTGGACGAGTCCGCGAGATCTCCTGACCTCGTGATCTGCCCGCTTCGGCCTCCCAAGGTGCTGGGATTACAGGCATGAACCACCGCACCGGGCCTCAGCTTTTCTTTATCGGAAATTTTTAAATTTCTTCTCTTGTTATAGTTCTACTCATATTTTCTATTTGTTTTTGAATTAGTTTTGGGCTATCTCATCTAAATTATCTAATTTAATAACATAATATTGTTTATCATATTCTCTTACAATATTTTTAAAGTTTCTGTAGGGTAGGCAGTTATATCCCTTATTTCAACCCTGATTTTAATAATCTTGGCCTTCTCTTTTGTTCTTCAAAAGTCATAAAGGATTTTCAATTTTGCCAGTCTTTCCAAATACACAACTTTTGGTTTCAATGATTTTCTATCTTTTACTTCATGGATTTATACTCATTTTTTATTATTTTCTTCCATCTGCTTGCTGTGAATCTTGCTGGCTCCTCTTTTTCTAGTCTCTTAGGATAGAAACTATCCCATTGGTTTTTAGATATTCTTTCTTTCTTTACTAATACAGGTAATTACAGGCCAATATTTATACAATCATTTATTTATTTCAAATCGTCTACTCTATAGAGGAAACCTTCACCACTGCCTCACTCAGGAAGTAACAGGAGGAATGTGAGAAGCTGGGATGAAAACACTATTTTGAGGGATCTGTTTGTCTGATGCTGGTAAGAACATATTACCAGGGGAAGCATCCTTATTTAATCCCCTTAGGGCAGGGGTCATTTGAGAGAAAGAGAATAAAAACAAACAAAACACTTAGGCAGTATGACAGCTTTAGTGGACAGTCCTAGGTGGGTTCCATGATACATAACCACTGGTGTTCACAAACAGTGTGATTCCCTCTTCTTGAGTCTGGGCAGAATTTGTGACTTCCTTCTAGCATAGACAATATTGCAAAGCTGAAAGTACTTTGCAGATGCAATCAGGGTCCCAAATCAGTTGGGTTTGAGTTAATCATAAGGGAGATTATTCTGAGTGGATCTGACTTAATTAGGTCAAAGCCATTAAAAGAGGAACTGAACTCTTTTTGTTACCAAGAAATTCTCCTAGCTGGTTTGATTATTAGTAGCCCATGTGGCAGGAAACTTCAGATGTTCTCTAGGACCTTAGGGTGATCTCCATCCAACAGCCAGCAAAAAGCCAGGACCCTCAGCCTTAGAGTTACTATGAAAATAATTCTGTCAACAACTTGAGTGATCACAGAAGCAGACCCTTTAAGTCCCCAGGTGAGAATGCAGACTGGTCAACACCTTGACTATAGCCTGTGAAACCTTGAAGAGAGAACCCAGATAAGCTGTGCCCAGGCTCCCGACTCATAGAAACTGCGTGTGAATTATGAAAGTGTGTTAATTTAAGCCACTGAGTGTGTGATTATGATAATTTGCATGGTCAAACAGTCAACTAATAATAAAATTTCAGATGTAGTGAGATAGGGTTACAAATTTAGAAACCAATGTAAATCTTATTAGACTGAAATGCTGCAAAAGCCTATTTTGCCAGAGTTTCTCTGCTTCCTTTGTGGAGGAAGTAGAAGACTGAGAGAGGCCAAGGTAGGGATGGAGGGGCACAGGATCGCTAATTTTTTCATGATCGTTGCTATGTACACTTGCATTTCTGGAGTCCACTCTACCTGTAGTGTTAGAGCAATTAGAAAAGCAAAAAGAGAGAAGATGACAGAAAACCTTGGCAATGGACGTGGAAAATATCACAGAAAAAGGACCTGTAATCCCAGCCCTTTGGGAGGCCGAGGCGGGTGAATCATGAGGTCAGGAGCTCATGACCAGGCTGGCCAACATGGTGAAACCCCATCTCCACTAAAAATATAAACAATTAGCTGGGCGTGGTGGCAGGCACCTGTAATCCCAGCTACTTGAGGGACTGATGCAAGAGAATCACTTGAACCTGGGAGGTGGAGGTTGCCATGAGCCAAGACTGTGCCATTGCCCACCAGCCTGGGTGACAGAGTGAGACCCTGGAAAAAAAAAAGAAAAAAGAAAAAGGACACGAACACTGCATGAGGAGTAAAAGACAAGTTATTAAATCTAGAGCTGAGAATCTAACTTTTGGGAATGGCACAGAGTTAGAGACATCTAAATTAAATAAGCAGAGATAACTACCTCACAATTGTTAGGTTTCTAAATAACTAGAAAAGCCTTTTAATGTGGATTCAGCAAATAAAAGTGGGGAAAAGTCAAAATTCAGGTGAGAAGGTCACCTATATCTGAAAGATATAGCTAATAATTTTGATTATTCAGAGCATTTTAAAAAAATGACTGCAACATTTTCTTAAAGTTTGAAATTCTTCTGTTGGTAAGGGTCTTTGACATAAAAATATACATTGAGAAGTAGAAAATTTCTGAGAGGTCCTGATGGAGTAAAGAAATTATTAAATTATAAAGCTGGTTGTAACACACACACATGCACACACACAAGCATCAATTTAAGGATTTTCTAATAGTTTGACCCTTTGTTCAAACAAGCCTATGACAGCAGGCTGATGATGGACCTGGATAAAAAGCCACATCTGAGGGATTAGAGCCTCAGGGAGCAGCTGCCTGGGGAGGTTTTTGTTTAGACCTAAAGCACTGTGGGAGGAAGATCCTTACTCTGCAGACAGTAATAATTTGCAGCATCGTCAGCTTCCACAGGATTAATTGTGAGGGTGAAATCGGTCCCAGACCCACTGCCGCTGAACCTGGCTGGGACCCCAGTGTCTTTATTGGATGCTTGGTAAATCAGGAGTTTAGGAGGTTGTCCTGGTTTCTGCTGATACCAGTGAATGAAGTTTATTCCAAATAAACTGACACTCTCACTGGCTCTGCAGGTGATGGTGGCCCTCTGCCCTGGAGACACGGCCAGAGAGGCTGGAGACTGGGTCAGCACAATGTCCCCATTGCATCCTGAAATGATAAAGACAAATAAACTATATCAGATATACTGAGACTGTCCCCAGGTAGGCCCATGCATTGGTGACACTTGTAACCACAGTCATATGCAGCATCTTGAGTAACCAGAAAACACAAGATAACTGGGGAACTTACAACCTCCAATGAATGCCTTAAATCCAACAACCAAAACCCAACCAAGAACAAAAAACAACGGTGGCCACATGAGTTTGCCCGATGTTTCTCTACGCCCCCTCACCTGGAGCCCAGAGCAGGAGGATCCACAGGAAAGGAGCCCAGGACCCCATCTCTGAGAGCTGAACTAGAGGCTGCTCCTCAGGGCCCCTGACAAGCTGCCTTTAAGGATGCTCTAAGCAGCTTGGACCGTTGTCTAATGACCCAACATGCAAATCAGCTCAGAAAAGTTTGGGCTGGAGCTCAAAGGGGACACCTGCTCTTATTTCACCCAGTGGGAGTTGGGGCTAACAAAACATTTCCTAGGGTAGCTCAAGCATGTCCCAAGGGATTTTGTGACTTTTTCTATTGGATCTTTGCCTGACAGTCTACTTGAGATACCATGTGGAGGAGTGTACTGGGGCTGCCCTGCCATTTGGATATGTTATTTCAGAAATACTTTTGATTATTCAAAATTAAAATTTTCAATCATTATCAATAATCATGCATTTTAAATTGTTATCATTGTGAGAAAGAGAAAGCAAGCTGGGTGGCTTTTATGAAACTGGTTCATATGGGAAGGGGAAGTTTGTTCCACTGAGTGAGTGGTATTTAAAACAAGTCTATAAATGTTATCATGATCTGGAAAGGATGAGGGGAGTGAGTATGAAACCTTGATGAAGACTGGAAAACTAAACTAATCAAGGAACTTGCCTCAGTGTGGACAAGGCAGGGTCTCTCCATCTGCTTAGTCCTGAAACCAATGCTCTATCCACCAGAGTCCCTCAGAGGCAGAAGAGTCATTGTAGTGGATCCTATTCAGAGTGGAGAATAACCATCCCCCAATTCCTGCTGGTTCCATCTGCCTTGCCACTGGAAGCTGAGAGTTAAGGAAGCTGAGAGCTAAGGAACTCCATCTCCTCCTACAGCAAGAGAGGGTGTCCACACCAGTCAGTTGGCACTCTCACCCCCCCATAGGTGAAGGTTTTCCCCCACCAAAACCAGTCTAAAATGACTGGAAGAGGGGACTGCATCTTCAAAAGTGCGGACACCAACAAAAGGCTACAAGGAACTTGAAAAGCCAGGGAGCATGATGCCAATCATCACTTCTCCATGATCTCCACTCCAGGATTCTATTCTGTTACTTGTGATGGAGTTCAGGGCCAGAGAGGTCCCTCTACACTGCTTCCAACTGTGCACTTGAGTCCCTGATTGCTCAGTTCTATTTTTCATTGATATTAACATGCATATTAGCTCTACTTAACTAAAAGTTTTCTTTTATCACTCTGAGAGTTGTTTTTATGTTTTTAAAATTTTATTTTATTTTATTTAGACTAAAATAAATTAGTGGTTTCCCAAAGGATCTAGATAGAATTACAATAATGGTTTTTCTACACCTTAAATCTACATTTTTATAAACAGTTGAAAATGAACACCTGAGAATTCCAGCTACACCTTAGGGCAAAGGAGATGAAGAGTGAGAACTTAGATTAGTGTGGTGAGTTTGAGTGGAAAATTCTATAACCCTCTTGTTTTTCCTAAATAATTAAATTAGGCTTACCTAGCTCTATTCCCCTAGAAGAAAGTAGGAATAATGGAATTTGAGTATTCCTTGAAGAAACAAAGAACATTTTCAAGAAATTTAAGAAGTTTTCATACTTCAACCTTTCAGATGTCTAGTAGATATCTCTGGAAAACAGGGCAAGCATCAATTTGTGGATTGAAAAGAAAGATAAAATATTTCAGAGGAGCCGGTATGCCATGAGGAAAGTCCTGAAAAAATTCACCTGAACCCTTGGCACTTTTGTGCCATGATTAGGGTTGGGACAATCCTTGAGCTTTTCCCCCTCCTACAACTCTGGGTGGAGGAGGACAGAAGCAGAGGTAGGAAGTAAAAGGCAGACGATTGGGGCGAAATTTGCATTTTTTTTTTTAGGCCGCCAAGAGGACTGATCATTAAGAAGCCTGTAGAAAATAGAGACAAACTTGACCACTTTAAATTGTCCACTGTCCTGTCCTCTGTCTTCTACTCTTTCTCTAGCAACCAAGTGATAAAAAAGACCTACTAAACACAACCCGCAAGGACATGGTCCTCAGACTCAGTTCTGAAGTGGAGGTAGGTAAGGTAATGATAAAATGCACCCACATGTGTTTGGAGCAATCAAGAAATATTGAACTATACCATATTTTGGCAAATAGAAGACTTGGATAAAGCAACCCCATCAAGGATAAGTAATTTGAAGTGAAATAATACTGAAAAATTACAAATACACCATGGGAGAGAGCTATATGACTGACAAAAATACATAGCAAGTAAATAATAAATTAGATAACTCCTCTGAAAATGATGTACTCGAGTAAAACAAAAGTATTTTCTGCAGCAAATGATTGTAAAATTAGAAGACACACCAAAAAAAAAAAAGCACTTAAATTTATTTTCAAGGATGAGATAATTAGCAAGAAAATAATAGGTAAAATAAACGTGTCTGGCTACAGGTACAGGATTTAAAAAGTAAAGCAGAACTAGTAATTATAACATAGAAAAAATATAATCAGGCAAAGAAATAAATGGAGTCAAAGACACATAAGGTAAGCTTAGTAAAGGAATAGAGTTCAGAATAAAAGGCAAAAAAGTCAATTACAGATAATTATAGAAAGGACAGAAAACAGGCACCCAATATACATGGATAGTTGATGTGTTTTAATTATAGAATGTAATAAAATAACATATGAAATAAAATGTAATAACATAATGACCAGAATGTCAATATGTTTAAGTGAAGATATGTTAAAACACCCCACCATAGCATATATATGAATTACATATTTATTAAATACATAAATATAAAAAGATAAATCTATAAAAATTATATAACAAAGAATTTATATGAATATATATCTGACTTGGTATTTAAAGAGACTATTTGTAAGCCACAAGAAAAAGGAATTCTAAAAGAAACAAAAAATAAATATATAAAGAAAGCAACAGAAACCTAATATAAAGTTTCTAAGTAGAAGTTTTAAATCAATGTCAAACACAAAATTATACACTGAAGAAAATCAATGCATATAAAAATAAAAATAAACTATAACAAAGACATCTCACAAAATGATAAAGAAAGCAAATTTAAATAAGAAAAATAATCCATAAAATGAAAAATTAATAAATTACACCTCACCTAAATTGAAGTTTTTGATCTGAAAAGAAATCTCTCTTAAAGGGTTGTAATAAATTGAAAGTGGACTTATGCAATTTAGCAAATGAACTCTTGAGCAATTATCTCAGAGAAATAAAACATTATTATACAGAAACTTGTACACAAATGTTCACAGAAGCTTTATTTAGTAGCTTTATTTAGCTTTATTTATTTATTTTAGTAGATAAATCAAGGAAATTACCCAAATGTCTTTCAGTAAGTAAACAGTTAAATAAACTGGGGTAATCATATCATAGAATACATTCAGAAATAAAAAGCAATAAACTATTGCTATACCCAACTTTGATGAGCCTCAAGGGTATTATGCTCAGCGAAATAAGCCAATCTCAAAATGGTACTTATGATATGATGTCTTTTACGCGGTGTTTGCCAAGGGTTAAGAATGGGGTAGAGAAGCTGAGTGTGACTGTAAAAGGGTAACACCAGGAGTCTTGTGGTGATGATTTAGCTGAGTTTCTTGATTACAGTGGTGGTTATAGAAGGCCACATGCATGATTCATTCACATCGAGCTACACACACATAAACACAATCACATAAACAAACAAAAATTGTGTGCATGTGTAACTTGTGAAAACTGAATAAGTTCTATGAAAGACACCAATGTTAATTTCCTGTCTTTGGTATTGTACTATACTTTGAAAGATGTCAACATTGGAGGAAGTTGAATGAAGATACATGAGACTTCTGTATATTTCTTTGCAACTTCCCGTGAACCTATAACTATGTAAAAACAAAAAGTAAAAAAAAAATCATAAGCTTTATTACTTAAAAACCTTGAAAAAAAATGAATTGTCCTTTTCCATGAAATAATTGGCAAAAAACTTAAAGCCTTATGCCTCCCTCTGCTGGTGGAAATGGAGGGGGATGGAAAAGCCATTACTTTGGTGGCTGCAATGTGGATTTCTACAGACTTTCCTAAGTAATCTCTGCTCACAATTGGAGTGAAATTTAGAATATGTATACTTGTTGGCCCAAACTTACTACTAAGAAAATTGCATATAGAAATAAAAACTCGGTGTTGTCTAAGGAAACATCTGAATGCCTATCAGTAAGAGATGGCTAAATAAATTGTGCTATTTTCATATTATGAAAAATCATGCAACTTTTGAAAGGGTTAATTTCATGAAATTGACCTGTTTATTATACAATATCAAGTGTACAAGCAAAAATGCAAAATGTGTTTTTATAACACATAATTCAAGGTTTGAGAACCTACAAGAAAAACCACAGAACTATAGCATACACAAGATAGTAATTTTTTTCATATATTAAATATGATTCACGTTTCTAGGGGTGACTATAGTTTTCTCACTAATAGAAGCACAGTAAGTTGATTAAACCAAAAATCATGACACAATTATATAGGGAAGAAGTCAGAGCACTCTGTTCTTAAGCTCAGCTCTAGGGAGAAACTATTTAACCAGCCTAATGTGCTACATACAGTTTTATTATTGTCTAACTGACTGGTGAAAGAGAAATACTCAACTCCATCCGGCTCTAGCATCCAGTCCCACCAGCATGGGTGGGGAAAGAAGCAAAGAGACACTTGTGATGTTAACAGTCCACAGATATAAGCTCACTAAAGCACTGAACCCTAAGCATAGGAGTATAGAATGCTTCTCTTCCCCTACACCTTACCCCCATATTATTAAAAGCCTATTTCTAGCACTTCCCTTCACCCAATATATTTTATCTGGCTATCAAGTAAAAATTATAAGGCATAATAAAAGGCAAAAAGACACGGTTTGAAGAGATCAAGCAAGCGTCGAAACCAGACATGGCAGGGATGTTGTAATTTTTAAAAGAGGAGAAACGTAAACTGAAAGACGAAGATCCCAAAAAAAAGCAAAAAAAAAAAAAAAAAAAAAATGCTAGAGATTAAAAACCAAAACAAAACAGAACACTGTAACAGAAAGGACTGGGTACGGCTGAGAAAAAAAGAGTCTGA